GTTGGGAGATCCACTGCTCTCTTCAAAGCTGTCAGACAGGGTCATTTGCATCTGCAGAGCTTTCTGCTACTTTTTGTTTAGCTGTGCGCTGTCCCCAGAGATGTAGTCTACAGAGACGGGCAGGCCTCCTTGAGCTGCTGTGGGTTCCACCCAGTTGGAGCTTCCCAGCGGCTTTGTTTACCTACTTAAGCCTCAGCAATGGTGGGCGCCCCTCCCCCAACCTCTGCAATTAGATCTCAGACTGCTGTGCTAGCAATGAGGGAGGCTCCGTGGGTGTGGGACCCTCCCGGCCAGGTGTGGGATATAATCTCCTGGTGTGCCATTTGCTAAGACCCTTGGTAAAGCACAGTATTAGGGTGGGAGTTATCTGATTTTCCAAGTGTTGTGTGTCTCAGTTCCCCTGGCTAGGAAAAGGGATTCCCTTCCCCCTTGAGCTTCCCAGGTGAGGCGATGCCTCGCCCTGCTTCAGCTCTCGCTGGTCAGGCTGCACCAGCTGACCAGCACCTATTGTCTGGCACTCCCCAGTGAGATGAACCGGATACCTCAGTTGAAAATGCAGAAATCACCTGTCTTCTGTGTCACCCATGCTGGGAGCTGGAGACTGGAGCTGTTCCTATTCAGCCATCCTGCTCTGGGACCCAGATTTTACTTCTAATGTTGATTAATATTGGCTGAAAAGAGAACTATTTGCAGAAAATTATAAATAGTTACAATAAACATATATAAACATAAACATCATGTTAGAAATTATATATAACATACTATTTTTTTCTCTTTTTTTCTATTAAAACTTTGAATAACTTCCAACCTACAACTGACTATATAAGTATATATTATAATAATTTTGCATGAAAAATTGTTTGTCACAGGTGTCAACATGAAAACTTAGTAGAACTACTTGGTTTCTCAAGTGATGGAGATGACCTCTGCTTAGTATATGTTTACATGCCTAATGGTTCATTACTAGACAGACTCTCTTGCTTGGTAAGCTATTTGTTCATCAGATTGTTTGGCTTTTTGTTTATATGCTGGGGTATTAATACTCATTTTGTTACTGGATTATTTAAACCAAATTCGCTTTCATATTTTTCCTGCTCTATGAAAATTATACAGTTGATATGTCAGCAACTGGGTTGCCATTTTATTAGGTGGTAATCCTAAATATAAAATTCAGTCAAGACTATACTAGGAAGATGCTTTTATATATTTTTATCTTCAAATAAGAAATGTAAACACCCATTTGAGCTTATTTGGAGATTATTTTTAATAACTTAAAAATGTAGTCCTAAATTATTAGTGATATAGCATCATCTTCAGTTGTTGCCTAGAAAAATATTCTGTGTTATATAGTCTCTGTAGATTTTTTATTATTCTTTCTAGTTTTTAATTTGGTTTATTTCTTTACAAGGATGGTACTCCACCACTTTCTTGGCACATGAGATGCAAAATTGCTCAGGGTGCAGCTAATGGCATCAATTTTCTACATGAAAATCATCATATTCATAGAGATATTAAAAGGTAAATGCTACTGTTTAAAAGCTTTTGGAAAGCTGTCTTTAAAGAATAGTTTGCTGTCTACTCACTATTCACATGCATGTCTTAACCTAGAGCACCTGGACTTTTTCCCATCACTCCATGAAAGCTCTTCTCAATAAGGACATCTATAATCTCCTTTATTCCAAGCCCAGTGACCTACTTTCAGTACTCATCCTACTTGACCTTTTTTATTTGTTTTAATAGTAGTTTATTCTGTTCTTCTTGACCCTTTTGCCTTATGGAAATTAGTTGTTTTCTTAGTTTATGGACCACCATTCTTTTCTGAATCACCTTCATCCTTCATGAGTACTTTTCAGTTCTCTTTCTTTCTTGTGTATTTATCTAGTTAAATATTTACCTACTGTAAGTAACATATTAATATATAGTGCTCAACATCAATCAAATCACAAAATAACAGTACACACATATATATTATATATAATATAGTATAGTATATAGGATTAATATAAAGAACATTTTCCAAGAAAGTGATATTTAAGCAGAGATTCAAAGAATGGGCAGGAAATAAGTAGGCACAATTTGACGGTAACTGTAGAATAGATGATGGGGAAAAGAACATTCTAGGCAGAAGGAACTGCATTTGTAAGACCAGTGGTGAGAGAAAATATGGGAGCATGATGAGTTACAAGAAATGAAATATGCTTTGGGAGCCAAGACAGTACGATCATTTGAGGCCAGGAGTTGCAGACCTGATTACGTTCTCTGGACAACATAGCAAGACCTCATCTTTACAAAAAAATTAGTCAAACCTGGTAATGCATGCCTACACTTCCAGATGCTGGGGGGTGGCTGAGGAGGGAGGATACTTGAGCCCAGGAGTTCAAGGCTGAAGTGAGCTATGATCATGCCACTGTTCTCCAACCTGGGTAATAAAGCAAGACTCTGTCTGAAAAAAAAACAATGAATAAATGCAGTATGACTGAGATGCAGAAAGTCATGGGGTGGTGGATTGAAGATAAAACTACAGAGAAGTGTAGGAAGCTAAGTCCTATAGGACCTAATGGGCCAAGGTAAGGCTTTTAGTTTTATCTCAAGTGTAATGAGATGCCATTGAAATTTTTAAGTAGGAATGTGGCATCATCTTTAAGTTTTGCAAAGATGATTTTGACTTTAATGTAGAGAACAGTTTATGAGAAGAAACAGTTAGTAGGCTATCATAGGTGGCAGTTCATATGAAGAGAGGTGAGCAGATTAGAAAGATTAAAATGGCAAAGCTTGTTGATACCTTGGCTATGCAGGGGTTCAGGAAGAGGGAAGTATCACGAATGACTCCCGGAATAATGGCATCCAGACTTGCATTCTGGAATGATTATGGCATGATTCACTTATATAGAAAGGACCAAAAAAAGACCTGGTTAGGTTGGGGTTAGAGAGATGGTTAGAAAATGTGAATTCTCCTTTGTACGTGTTGTCATTGAGGTTCTTTTAAGATATAGTAGTAGAGATGTTAGTGTGATATACAGATTTGGAGCTGATGGTCTGAGCTGAAGATATAAATGTGTGTATTACTTGCATACAGGTGATAATTGAAGTGACTGTATTCACTTGAGGGGAGATGTAGATTAAGAAAAGGTCACAAGATTAAGTCTTGAGGAACCCTAAGACTTAATGGCCAAATAGAAGGGATGATCACAAAAAGGAATCTAAGGAAGTACACATACAGAGAAAGGTAAGGTGAAAACCTGTAGAGTGTGGAGTCCCTGAAAATGAGGAAAGAAAGTGTTTCCCAAGAGGGAGTAGTCAAAAAGAGTCAAGTGCTTTAATCATTGGATTAGCATCACCATTGTCTTTGGTGACTTTGTGGAAACCCATTTCCATGTAGTAATTGGTTTAGAAATCACATTGTAGTTGAGAGAGTGAGAGCTAAAGAACTGAGATAGGAGTACAGACAAGTCTTTTAAGACATGTTACTAAGGGGACAGCTAGAAATAGATATGTCATTCAGGAAACTTTTTTTTTTTTTAAGAAAGCAGAGACTAAACTGAGCTTATCTGCCTATAGGAAGGATCCAGATTAAGAGGGAGAGGATACCGTGGAAGAGAGAAATGAGATTATGTGTTCAGTAGGGTTCCTGAGAATGTAAGCAGCGCGAGCAGAGGAACTGACCCTAGATGAGAAAAGAAACACCATCTCCTATCCTTCATGTATTGTTGGTACTTTCTCATGTTCTTATCATTGTCTCTTTTCTCCCTATATGTTCTTTTTTTTTTGGAGACGGAGTTTCACTCTTGTTACCCAGGCTGGAGTGCAGTGGCGCGATCTTGGCTCACTGCAACCTTCGCCTCCTGGGTTCAAGAGATTCTCCAGCCTCAGCCTCCTGAATAGCTTGGATTACAGGCATGCACCACCACGCTCTGCTAATTTTGTATTTTTAGTAGAGATGGGATTTTTCTCCATGTTGATTAGGTTGGTCTCGAACTCCTGACCTCAGGTGATCTGCCCACCTTGGCCTCCCAAAGTGCTGGAATTACAGGCGTGAGCCACCCGCCCGGCTTCTCTCTGTGTGTTTTTGCGGAGTGATATTATGTTGATTTTAACTGCTACTTATATGTGAGTGTTTTTCGAATCTGTATTATAAGCTTCCAGTCCTGGATTTTTAGTATCCCCGTACCAAAAACACTGCATCTGGGTATCCCACAGTAACCTTTAAGTCAGCACATCAGAAATCAAACTTATCAGGTCTTTCCAACCTAAAGTCTTTCCACATTTCCTTTCTGATCCAGTGAAGTCACTATTCATTCTCTCTCTCAAGCTGAAGACGTTCTCATTGTCTGTATCATGCTAATTACAAAATTCTGTTGAGTGAGCCTCAAAATTTTCACTTTCCATTTATCCCATGTTATGACCATTTAGACCCTCATTATCTCTCATTTGCTTTGTTACGAACCTTTGTAGTCAACCTAAATCCAGCCTATCAGTCCTCATCTATTCACTACAGTGCTACCAGGTCATAGTCCTAAAAGTTAAGTCTAATAACATCAGTTTCCTACTGTGAAAACTTTAGCTGGTAGCCTGTTGCTCACAGGATAAAATTCAAATAATCTCCATGTTTCTAGGACACTCATTCCTTGAAGTTGACCATGTACACCATATCATATTTTCGTCACTCTGTAGCTGTTACTCCATTTGCCTGGAGTGCCTTTCTTTCCCTCATGTAACTATCAACTTCTGATAATCCTTCAATACTAAGCACACTTTTCACCCTCTGTTTGAAATTTTTCCTGCTTTTTCCAGGCACATGGTTGTTCTCTCAGCATTTTGTACCTAATATTACCATTGTTTTAAAAAATTATTTATGCCTTTGTCACAGACAAGATTTTAAGACTCCCCCATGCCCAGAGTTTAAATACTATACGACATAGAGAGTTCTCAATAAGATTGTGTTGAATGAAAGTATGAATGCATATAATGAATTAACTGAGATATTTTGGCCATATTTTTTTCTCTTCAAAAGCCAGATAGTACAGAACAAAAGAATAAAGAAATGCATAATTGAGATACTTTGGTTGGAAATTTGTTTTTAAATGAATTGATACATATTAAGAAAGGAATTATTAAAGGTGCCTTGGAAGACTTTATAGTAATTTACCTATAATAAATTATTTGTGGAATAATGAAAATATCTCTTACTAATGTAGACAGTTTTATTTCATTTTTATTCTCCTAAATTTTTTCCTCAAGAAACATAAAAAAAGAGGACAGTTGCTTCTCTTTAGCTATAATCTGAGTTCTAGGTTTATTAATAGAAATGTTAGGCTTTTATGATGCATACTATAAAATGTTATACTCTGTAAATATGTATGTACATAGACATGTATGCATATACATATATACATGCATACATACATTTAGCTAAGGAACTGTTTGACTTTTTTGGGGTAGGGAAAACATTTTTTTCCTTCAAACTTTACATTTTTTTCAGTGCAAATATCTTACTAGATGAAGCTTTTACTGCTAAAATATCTGACTTTGGCCTTGCACGGGCTTCTGAGAAGTTTGCCCAGACAGTCATGACTAGCAGAATTGTGGGAACAACAGCTTATATGGCACCTGAAGCTTTGCGAGGAGAAATAACACCCAAATCTGACATTTACAGCTTTGGTGTGGTAAGTTCCATATACATAATTAGTAAAAATAGTCATTCTGCTATAATTGTGGAAATGAAGTAGAATATTATTTAATACACCCATCTTGTCTAGCTCTCTTATGTAACAACACAAGTTTTTCACATTAACCTCTACTTATACCAGAAAGTTTGTAAAAACTTCTTCCAATGTGTAAAACTTTTGAATTGATTTTTGAAATGACTACAAGAAATGATTTTCTTGCCATCTGTGTTTATGAATTAGCATGACACCTAATGCATTAAATGAATCGTGTCGTACAGTATATACTTTAGTCTCACATTTTTTGACATTTACTAATCTACCTGTCTATTCCCAATAAATTTTAAGATAGAGTAAGAGATAGGTGTGGGTGGTTGGAGAAGCCAGGGGCTTTTTCTTCAATTTGTTTTTTCATATGTGTTCCATATATGGAAATTTAACTTCATAGCACTGTGAAAACAAGGCATAGGACTGTAGAATATGCCTAGTGTTTAGAAAATATTATTCTCCTAAGAGCCAGAGAAAATTATTCTTGTGAAGAATCCCTAAGAGGCAGGAAAAGGATTGGGAGTTCCCAGAACATATGTTGAGTGGGGCTGACTCTTTAGTAGAGTTGCCAATAGAAAAGAGCTGCTTATGGTCATGATGGGGTCCGAGATATCCCTGAAGGAGGGATGGCGAGAAATGCCCAAAGCTCGTGTTCTTTCCACTTTAATATCTAAAAGACATAGCCTTGTATAGAATGATTAATCAAATTTTGTAAACAAGATTCATATTCCTTCTAGTTTATATTTATTTTTGTCTTGAGTATTATATATATAATTTATTAGTATCATGTATAATATATGTATATTTTAGAGACAAGGCCTCACTTGGTCACCCAGGCTGAAGTGCAGTGGTGGAATTATGGCTCACTGCAGCCTCAACCTCCTAGGCTCTAGTGATCCTCTCACTTCAGCCTCCCAAGTAGCTGGGACTACAGATATGTGCTGCCACACCCGGCCAATGTTTTTTAAAATTTTTTGTTGAGACAGGGTCTGCCTGTTGCCCAGGCTGGTCTTGAAGTCCTGGGCTCAAGTTATCCTCCCACATCTGTCTCCCAGAGTGCTGGGATTACAGGCGTTAGCCACCATGCCCAGCCTGTCTTGTGTATTATATTAATGAAATTTTTTTGTCTTAATAGGTTTTACTAGAAATAATAACTGGACTTCCAGCCGTGGATGAACACCGTGAACCTCAGTTATTGGTAATTGAAATATTCGTTTTCCTCAATCCTTTTTTCTCTGCTTTTGTAATCTAAATTTATATAGATAAATCTGACATCTAGAAATAACATTTTCTGTTGGCAATCTTTCCATTGGCTATTACACAATAGCATATGGAAAAAGCATTAAATATTTTTCATTCTCAGCTCTCCCATGAAGTATTTGTGAAGCCTAGAAAAGTCACTTACGTATTCTTTGTTCTGATTTCTTTGTGGGTAAAATGAAAATAGAACTAAATGATTTCTGAGGTCCTCTTTAGCTTATGTTTATTTTGTTACTTTCAGGGTGGCTACTTTTAATAACAGTGTTTTCAACATTTTCAGAAAGGAAAAAAATGGCTTCCATTCAAATTTCTCTCAGAATAAAATTGCTAGTAAAAGTTCTCTACTTATTTCTATCATGGGGTATTTTATTTACAAAGTTACAATAAAAAACATACCAAATTTGCTATTGTTAGGAAAAACTCAAATCATGTATTTCCTTTGCTCTCACACCACAGCAACAATCAACACAGAAGATTTCTGTGACCAAATGTGAGTGGGGAGGATTTCTCTCCACCAACAAGCAGGCAGTCTACTTTGCAGCGGAAGTCAGCTGGATCTCCTCCAATTTAATTCTGACACTATGTTCCTAGAGATAGCATCAGAATCAGATCCCACAGGTTAAGGGCTCAGTCCCTGAGACTGCGATCCCACCAGACACCAGTCGCAAGTTTAGGCCTCCAGAACTTCTAACCAACTGCCTTCAAGTTGGAGTTCCTATGACCTCCTCTGTGGGTATGGAGGGCTCAAGATTGAACCCAGATTGATTCACTAACTTGCATGCAGCATATACTTTACCTAAGTTTTCCATCATTTTGCCTAAGGCTTTTTCTTTCAAAATATATAAAAGCCTCAAAACTTTGGCTTGAGTAAGGATGAAATGCAGAAAAACATAAGCTCTATCTCAGTCACAAGTTTTGCATTTCATCATATAATAGTGAAAATCATAAATCTTTGGAGAATTACACTCTTTCACCCATTCTTAAGGTTTGACTGTGATGTGACTCTAAAGTAATAAGATTTTTGTACAAGCACAGTTAAAAAAAAAAATGATCCTTTGAAGAACCCTTATGTTACTAGATTCTGCCATTGCCATTTTCAGAATTTATCTTTTGAAAGTGTTTTTGAAGAGTTTACCTCTCATGAATAGTTTTCTTCATCTGTATTAGTTTCCTAGGACTGTTGTAAAAATGTACCAAAAACTGTGTGACTTAAAGCAACAGAAATTTATTTGCTCGTAGTTCTGGAGGCCAGAGTCTGAAATCAAGGTATTGGCAAGACTACGCTCTCTCTGGAGGCTCCAGAGAGAATCTTGCCTTGCTCGTTGGATGTGGGGCTTACCTCCAGGATTATCCATAATCTGGAATATTCTCATCTCAGGATACTTAATTACATCTAAAAAGGCCCTTCTTTTCCTAATAAGAGGACATTTACAGATTCCAGAAATTATGGCATAGACATGTTTTGGGAGACCATGATTCACCCAACTTACTCTCTTATTCCTACACTTCTCTCCCTGTTAATTTTTTTTTTTTTTTTATCATGGCCTGCTCCCCATTTTTCCCCTCCCTTTTTCTCTTTGATTCAACAATCTTAGTACCCATAGAGAAGTTTATTGGGTACAGGGAGGAGGAGTCAGGGTCCAAAAGTTGGAGTTGCGCTATTAGAAGCACATCAAGAAGCAGACCACGCTGTGCTGCCCACCTAGTAAATGCTGCTAATGGAAACATATAAGCAATTAGCTCATAACATAAATATAAAAATTGGAAGGCAGATGGGTGGAAGTATCTAGAAGGTATAAATAAATATACTTTTATATTATACACACACACACACACACACACACACCCAGTCGTGTGTTGCCAAATGACAGGAATATGTTCCGAGAAATGCGTTGTTAGGCAGTTTCATTGTGTGAACCTCATAGAGTGTGCTTACACAAACCTAGATGATGTGACCTACTACACACCTGGGCTGTATGGTATTGCTCCTAGGCTACAAACATATGCTGTACAGCATAATACTGTCCTGGATACTGTAAGCAATTGTAACACAATGGTAAGTATTTATGTATGTAAACATAAAAGAGGTACAGTAAAAATATGGTATTATAATCTTATGGGACCACCATCTATATGTGGTCTGTCATTGACCAGTTGACCAAAATGTCATTTTGTGGTGGATGGATGTACTTATTTACATAGAATTTGTCCTGTATGTCTTGTTTTTTTTGTTTGTTTGTTTTGTTTTATTTTTGGAGACAGAGTCTCACTCTGTCACCCAGGCTGGAGTAGTGCAGTGGCGCAATTTCGGCTCACTGCAATCTCTGCCTCATGGGTTCAGACGATTCCCCTGTGTCAGCCTCCCGAGTAGCTAAGATTACAGGTGCACACCACCACGCCTGGCTAATTTTTTGTATTTTTAGTAGAAACAGGGTTTCACCATGTTGCCTAGGCTGGATCTTGAATTCTTAATAGGGTTTTAAGATAAGATAGTAAAATGAGAGTACATGTTATTACAAAGTAGATTAATTTAAATAATTAAAATATACATTCTAATTTCCTTCACTTTGATTTGAAGCTCTTAAAGTTTTAACACTCATTTTAAAGCTAGATATTAAAGAAGAAATTGAAGATGAAGAAAAGACAATTGAAGATTATATTGATAAAAAGATGAATGATGCTGATTCCACTTCAGTTGAAGCTATGTACTCTGTTGCTAGTCAATGTCTGCATGAAAAGAAAAATAAGAGACCAGACATTAAGAAGGTATGAATTTTGTGTATTTATTTAAAAAGAAAGGGGTGGGGTTCATCATATTTTCCAGAGTGTATATTTTAAAGCAAGTGTATAATGTGGTTCTTTTGTTTTTTTCTATGTCTTTTTATAAGGTTCAACAGCTGCTGCAAGAGATGACAGATTCTTAAAACTATTGGAATAGACTCTTGACTTTTTATATACACCTATTTCAACCATTTTTTTTTTTTTTTAATTGGAGATGGAATCTCGCTCTGTTGCCCAGGCTGGAGTGCAGTGGCGTGATCTCGACTCACTGCAAGCTCCACCTCCCGGGTTCACGCCATTCTCCTGCCTCAGCCTTCCAAGTAGCTGGAACTACAGGCGTCCACCACCACGCCCGGCTAGTTTTTTTTTTTTTTTTTTTTAGTAGAGACGGGGTTTCACCATGTTAGCCAGGATGGTCTCGATCTCCTGACCTCATGATCCCCCCGCCTCAGCCTCCCAAAGTGCTGGGATTACAGGCGTGAGCCACCACGCCTGGCCTCAACCATTTTTTTTAACTAATTTTTTTCCCAAATATTCTTCTTTACCTTTAGCAAGGTGCAGGCTGTTGCAGGGCAGTGGTTATTAAAGCATGGGTTGAACTTCCAACATATAAAAATAGAGCCACCATATCAATACTTAGCCCTACCCATTAGTATCACACCCAGTTCTTACAGTAATCCCTGAGATATCTCCAAGCATCAAACACAGTTTGAAAATTACAGAGTTAGCAAAAAGAGCCTGGGCTGTATGTAGGGTGGAAACACTCTGATCTGAAGCCCAACTGACTCCACTACTAATTTGCTGTAAAGCTTTGGACATACACTTAGCTGCTGTGAGCCACTAATAACATTGGGCTAATATCTGCTGTGCTTCTCTGACAGGTAATCATGAAAATCAAATGATGCAGAATATATACAAGCACTTTGTGAATTATAAAAATAATACAAAATTTAAAGTTTATAGAGCCAGTTACAAAATCCTATTAGTCATATATTTATAGATTGTGTTCACAGCAATCATTTAACCACAAATAAAATATCCCTTGATGATGCTGCCGTAATGATATGTCCATTGTTAGATTATGTTACATGACAAAGTTGAAAGAATTTTGCAGATGCAGCTAAGGTTCCTAAACAACTCACTCTGAGACTGTTGAAAGGGCCTGACCTAATCAGGTGAACCCTTGCAAGAAGGATTCTCCTTGTAAGCCTTGAAGAAGTATGTACCATGTTGTGAGAGGGCCACATTGGCTAAAACCTAAAGGTAGCCTCTAGAAGATGAGACGTACCTTCCAGTTGTGGGCAAGCAGGAAAAAAATTGGAACCTCAGTTGCAACCACAAGGAATTGATTTCCACCAACAATCTGAGTGAGCTAAGAAGAGTACTCCAAGCTTCAGATGATACCACAACCTGGCTGACACCTAGATTTCAGCTTTGCGTGATCCTCAGTATGAGAACCTGTCTGTGCTGTGCTGGACTTCTAATATATAGAACTGTGAGATAATGGGTCACATTGGCCAGTTGTGGTGGCTCATACCTGTAAATCCCAGCACTTTGGGAGGCTGAGGTGGGCATATCCCCTGAGGTCAAGAGTTCAAGACCATTTTGGCCAACATGGTGAAACCCTGTCTCTACTGAAAATACAAAAATTAGCTGAACGTGGTGGTGAACGCCTGTAGTCCCAGCTACTTGGGAGGCTGAGGCAGGAGAATTGCTGGAACTGGGGAGGCGGAGGTTGCAGTGAGCTGAGATTGTGCCCACTGCACTCCAGCCTGGGTGACAGAGCAAGAGTCTGTCATTCATAAATAAATTAATTAATTAATTAATTAATGGATCACATTAAGCCTTTAAGTTTGTGGTAATCTATTATGCAGTAATAGAAAACAAATACAGATACTCTCCCATGATGTTTTTCCCATGATGATTTCCCATGATATTTACAGGTTCTGCCCACATTTGAGGGGTATGTGGGAATAAAACAGAGCATGTACAGTGGGGGGCTTATAGTCTACATACTGAAATGTGGGGTTGGAGCCCCAACACAAGGCCCCAGCAGGGCACTGCCTAGTAGAGCTCTGGGAAAGGTGCTGCCACCCTCCAGACTTGAGAATGGTAGAGCCACCAGCAGCTTGCACTCTGAGCTTGGAAAAGCCACAGACACTCAACTTCAACTATGAGGGAAGCCGCGTACCCTGCAAAGCCACAGGAGTGGAGCTGCCCAAGGCGCTGAGGGCCCACCCCTTGCACCAGTGTGCCAGGATGCAGGACATGGAATCAAGGAATATGTTGGGACTTTAAAGTTTAATGTCTTCCCCGCTGGGTTTCAGACTTGCCTCGAGCCTGTTGCCCCTTTCTTTAGCCAATTTCTCCGTTTTGGGACAAGAATGTTTTACTCAGTGCCTATACCGCCAACTGTATCTTGGAAGTAAATAACTTATATTTTATTTCACAGGCTCATAGGTGGAAGGAGTTTACCTTAAGTCTCAAATGAGACTTTGGACTTTTAAGTGATGCTAGAATGAATTAAGACTTTGAGGGACTATTGGGAAGGGATGATTATATTTTGCAATGTGAGAAAGACATGAGTTTTGGGGGGCTGGGGGTAGAATGACATTGTTTGGGTGTTTGTCTCCTTCAAATCTCATGTTTAAATGTAATCCCCAGTGTTGGAGGTGGGGCCTGATGGGAAATGTTTGGGTCATGGGGGCGG